CCAACAAATAAGCTATTCTAAATTGATAATATTTCAAACCTATTTTTTGGTTTCTCATCTTTATGGCTTATCTATCTCCTTACTTTATCATATTTGAACTAATTATGAAAATAGAGTGCCTATATATATATATATGATTTACAAAATTGAATAGAAATTGAAAAACTTATGTATATTATTATATTCGTGATGATAAAGATAATAATCAAATAAGAATTTAAAAATAATAATTAAATAAAGTGAACAAACCCGCCTTCATTAGACCACCAATAATTTTAATATTATTTTAGATCTGTGCACCTTGAACTTTGTAATTATAAAGGATTCTTAATTTTTTTTTAAAATATTAATTTCAAAACTTTTTTTCTTTGTTTTTGTAAAAAAAGTTGTGGATATATACTTGTTTTAACGAATTTTTTTATAATTATAAAATTATTTGTATCATGTTTTAAAAATATCTATAAAATTTAGAAAGAAATATTAATACCTCTGAATTTGTAAAAAATAAAAAAGTTAGGAGATAATTTAAACTATTTTTATTCAGTAAACATGAAGAGTGTTAATACTATTTTTTTTAGGTAAAGGTTAAAAGTGTTAATACTATTTTTAAAATTGCATAGTATTTTTCAAACCCATACTAAAATTATTTTTTAAACATTTTTAAAATTTTTAAAATTCGGACATGTTAATAGTATTTTTATTGAAAATATTAAATTAAAAATTAAGAATATTTTTTAAACAATTCAAATTTAAGGATTGTTTTTAAAAATTTAGAGTTATTATTTTTTTTAAGATAAAGATAATTTTGTTAATTTGATCTAATATTAAATAGTTATTGGTCCCACCCAATCTAGAAACAGTGTGGATTAAATATTTTTAATTATATTTGGTTTTTTTATTAGAAAGGTAATTAACATATTCCCTTCTACAAAACCAATAAATAATTAAATTGAAATTTCTATATTTTGACATTAATTTCATCATAATATAGCATCTTTTAATTGGTGTAGTGAGATATTCAGCTTTTTAAATAGATTTTTATCTTTTGTGATCTGTTTTTAAATAAAAAAAATCCTCAAAAAGAGTTTTATTTAAGTAAGCTTACTCTAAAATTCATATATTTTTTTTAATTTTATTTATCTCTAGATTTTAATTTAAAAACGGATGGCTCCTCTAATTTTTTTTATGGATATTTGAACACATTGATATAATTGTATTTATATTCGACGTGTTGGGATTGAGATTAATTGATCTTAATTCTTTCAGCCATATATTAAGGGTTTGGACCAAATTATTATTTAACAACCTTCTTAATAGGCATGAGTCTAAATATAAATTACCTTAATTGAAACTATTTTTGATATAAAATTATATTATTTATAATATAACAAAGTAAAAATTGTACTTTTGACTTCGATAAGAAGGTATAGTTACATCTAAAAAATAATAATAATAAATAATAAATAAGAGTAAGAATACATATAAAAAATGCAGGCCTTCTTTACTAACTCATATTCGAATTTGATAATTATTTTTAATTGTAGAATTAAATGGAAAAAAAATGTATGAAAGGGCATCGTTTTTTAAAAAAAACCTTTAAAAGATAATTTAGGTCTGTTTATTGCTTCATTCTCTATAATTAATTTGTGCAATATAATTTGTAAGCTATTCATTGTTTAAAAGGAAAATGGAAGGAAGGTCTATTTATAAAGTAAAAAATGAGCTATCAGTATGTGCACAAATAAATAAATAAATAATAAAAATAAATAAATAAATAATCAGTAAATTTGAAAAAAGTATCAGTTATATTTCTATCCCATTTTTTAATTTAATTTATATTCAGTTTATCCTTTATTTAGAATATAATATTATTTTTAATATTTTATAATGTTACAAAACTATGATTTATCTAAATATTTTTTTAGATCTGTCACATAAAAATTAATAAACAGAAATTTGAATCAACACATCTTTCTCATTTATTAGTATTAGGGATGTTGAATTGCTCATAGTTATTGGTCGATATAACAAAATGGATATATATATATATATATGCATGCTATCAAAATAATTTTTAAACAAATAAACGTGGGAGGAGAATTTTAAAAAAGAATAAATATTTTAACCCATAAATAAATAATATATAAAATAATATTTGTCGTACGATTTTGGGCCTCAATTTTTGTGTGAGTTATATAACATTTAATTTTTATTTTCCTACAAGTTTATACATTTTTAACCTTTTCTTTTACATGTTTGATGACATAGATATTTTATTCTTATTCGTTTACGAACCATGCACATATTTACTTTTTTTTTTCATTATTTCTTTACGATTTTAGGTGAAGTATATATATTTTATATTATTAAAAAATATTTTAATAATAATAAAATTTCAAAAATTAAAATATTAAATTAAATATATTTACCTTGATTAAGAATATTATTATTAAATTATTAAAATTGAAAGTTCAAAGCCATTTCATTTTAGTTTTTTATATTATATTCTATCATTCTTTTTATTATTATATTGGTATGAGGTATAAATGGTTGAATATATTAAATATAATATAATATAGTCAAAATGTCAATATCAATTATTTTTCTATACGAACGAAAAGATATTCTTCACATATCTAAGTCAAAAAGTTCATAAAAGTTTATACCGCATCTAAATAGAAGAATGTCAATAAAATCACACTTTTTGACCGAAAAAGTACAGACACGTAAATCTTTATCTCGTTGACAAATTTACTTCTCTAGTATGTAAAAAATTATCTATAGTTTTATTTCGTTTTGTTATCATTATTAATATGCTTAGTGAATAAAAGATTAATTTTTAATATATATGAAATAAAATGAAATAATAATATTATTACATGTAACATTTTAAAAGTTCAAATATCTCTCTAACAAATAAATAAAAATTGATGGATAATATTTTAAGTGAATTCTTATCTCAATTTAAATATAAATTTTTTACTTATTAAAAATTTATTTAATATTATATTATATTTTGTTCCATCCATATTAAAAATGGTTGTATTTAAATTTTTTACTTATTAGAAATTTATTTAATATTATATTATATTTTGTTCCATCCATATTAAAAAATGGTTGTATTTAAATTTTTTACTTATTAGAAATTTATTTAATATTATATTATATTTTGTTCCATCCATATTAAAAAATGGTTGTTTAAGCCGTCAACAATTTTTCAACATATCTACGAAATATAATTTTTCTTTTAATAATTTACTTAAAAATTTATAAAAACATACTTATTTGAAGCCACGGTTAAATGTACGATTTGGAAAAGGATAATAATATTAATTCATAGTATATAATTTTAACTCTAAACTATAATATTCTTCTTTCTTTAACGAAACCTTAGAAATAACTTTTTTTTTCATATATAATATATAGAAATAATTCAATTTGGCAAGGAGAACGCTGAATTATTTTTAGGATGAATCAATGACAAAGTAAAGGCATCCATCAATCACATGATGGACGCCTTTAAACAAAAGTCGTAATTGTGGTTTTGTCCGCACCGAATCCCCACCCCATACGTTAAGCGCATTGGGGACCAAAGCATGTGGAAATCATGTTAAAACTCGCTGCTAAGAATTTCCTTTTTGTTGGGGACCATTTTAGTACGCGTAAATAAAGATAAAGTTTATTTTTTACCACCCAAGTTTTTATTAAGTTTATTTTTTACCACCCAAGTTTTTATTACTTTTTTATTATTATTATTATTATTATTATTATATGTCCCTTTTCTTCCTCACCCCATTGTCCTTTTGCCCTCCCATTCCATTATTATTTATTGTTTTCTAACTTTAATATTAAATATTTTTTCTTCGAGTTTTAAAAATATTATCTAATATATTAAAAATAGAATGTATAATTAAGGATTGAGTTTTGAGTACATGGATTTTTAACTATTTAACTATTGGTCTATGCTAATATTGACTTCTAAACATGTTAATTAGGTATAAGCAGATCGATTAATGTAGATTTTAATCGTTGAATTTAAGTATAGAATTATGTGAAAAATAAAATTAGTGTTCAAATCGAATTTTTCTAGTAAATCATGTCGTTCAACTCTGATATCTAAATTAATGAAATAGGAACGCGAAGATAATTAAGCTATGCTTCAACAGACTTCTAAATTTATTATTCATGTATTAACGAATTGTCTCAATTGGGTTCGCCGCCAAATTCATAGTTGATTCATGAAAAATAAGTTTGACAATAGAACCGATTTTTGGGATACGAGCGATCCTAACACCGATGTTTCAAACCGTACTAATTGTTCGAGCGGGTAAAAGAGACAAAATTGACCGTCGAAAAAACCTATGGTGTCGAAATCGATAAAACCGTATTTAAACTTAACTGACCAATGATTTTTAGTTTCATCCTTTGGATGGTTGGACCAAATAATATAAATTCTTCGAATAAATCGAATCGAATTGGTTTTATTGATTAATATTAGACGTCAATTATTATTGTATTTTAAATTTATTAAAATTTTAAAGTTAATAATGAACAAATCATCTTGTAATTTATTTATTAGTTTTTTTCCTTATCAAGTTGTAATTTTTGTTACCATGTATAATTATTTTTTTATTAATTAAAATCAGGCATGAAATATAAGGCAGGCTAACAATTATTATTCCAAATTTAATAGAAATGAATTTTTCGATTCACCCGTTTAAATTTACTGAACATAGCATTTTATTATATTATTTAATTTGATTCGATTAGATCGAACCGAATAAATTGACGGTTCATTGACTACAACCGGAAATGAGTGGATATCTGTGCCAATACTCGTTAAAAGAATTTCCGTACATTACAACAGACCGGTTCGAACCGAAAAAGTACCGGTTCAGCGCCAGAGCCAAGAGAAAGCCGGTAACGCTGACTCCAAGGACCGAATCAGAAGTGAAGTATTTTTCTTTTTCTTATTTTTAATTAAACGTCCCTGGTCCATCTCTCTCTCTCTCTCTCCTGGAAACTCAAGCTAACAACGTAAGTCTCTCCTCCCTTTCTCTTTCCATCAGCATTTGGCATTTGATCGACCAAGAAACTCATTCGGAGTAGCTTAGAGGAGCTAATTGCAAAATAACAAGCATTGGATCGGTGAGGATATTGGCGAAACAGGTAATTCGAATTCATCTTTGATTGACTCACTCACATCTCCTGTGCTAATGGACACAAGAATATCGAAAATTAGGGCTCAAATTGAGGCCTCATTATTTTGTACTGTACATTTCTGTTATCTGCTTGGTTGATTCGGTCGAAGCTCGGCTAATTTCTGTAATTCTCCGATGTTCATCTATTTTTCCTGTTTTGTTTTGTTTTTTTTTTTGTTTTTTTTTTCTCTGTTTGGAGCATTTGAGCCATTGGTATGTACTTTGACCACTGCCTGCCAAATGAGTTGATGTTTTATCGAACTAGATTTGTTATGTCATTTACAATTTCGATTTCTTTAGAAATAATCGAAGTAGATGCTCTGGAGGAGTTTGATCCAGAGCTCACTCCGACGTATTTCAGGGGATTAATCTTGTGAATTTGACTATGTACAGAATATAATCGCACAATTCGAAGGAATTGAAGCGGAACTGGACAAATTTTATGGTGCACATTTCTAATTGAATCGTTCTCTTGACTCTGAGTGTATTGTCTTGGTCATTCGGTAATTTCTAACTTATTAGACATTGAAATGAATTTCTTATGGAGTTCTCATCTTGTACTCCGTTTTTATAATGCATAAAATTGTTCTGTCATTGCTATCTGTATCCAGAGGATTGTTCTTCGGGATATCTTCACTGTTATTTGATTTCTAATTTCTTGTGAATTTATCATCTATGGCATTATTCAAAGTGCGGTTAAAAATATTAATGCTGAACGTTCTTAAATGCTAGCTTGTTTAAGTGAAAGTTAACCGTAGAATTTTCCTCTCTTCCAGTTTTAAACAAATTCGTTCAGAATTTCAATTTTTCAAGTGTAACTTTAACGTGCCAAGGCGCTTGGACAAATCTGCGATATAAACTTATTCGAATAATTTAGATTCTCTCTCAATGACTGCAGTAGTAAACTGGCTTAGAAGATCAACATTATTGAGCTGTTCTTTTATTTTATTTACTTAATGTTTTTTTTGGAGTTGGGCAAAGTTTCCACTTCAATCTTTTCATCTACTTTTTGATAATGCATTTCTACATAACAATGGAGGAAACGTGATCTACCACTACAAGATTGAATTTAACAGTCGACTTATGAGTTATACTCACGTTTCAGTTCAAGTTTCTTTAGAATGTGTTTCACCGTGTCATTTTTATCCATGTAAGATTTGTAATTTTCGTTTTCTGATATTATACCTTAACATGATGAAATTTATGCGTTTGTTTTTGCAGCTTGGTCGGACACAATTTGGAGAATTGCCTTAAATGTTCGTTGTATGCGTTGAAAGAATTGAACATGAATTCTCAGTATAACAGCAGCGGGGATTTCTATGCGGGCAATTTATTGCTAAGAAACCAAAATCTTTATTCAGGTTCAAGACCTTCCAGTAACGATAGCTACGCGCAACATGTACGCACATGTAAGTCCACGAATTATCTCTGTAATTATTTTTAATAATATTGATACATTCAGAAAATTACAAATTGATGTTGTCAAGTAAGAGTTTCCCTATCTCAATGATTCTATTTATAATCGCACACGCGCACTTGAGAAAACTTGATTGCTAATGATACGATGTAAAGAATTGCTCCAGGATAGCGTTAGTTACATGATATGTTGTCAAAGAAAATAGTGATATTGTTCGTTACGTTAGACAGACTTACTCTTATTCTTTTCCATAACCAAATTTGGCTGAACCATTGAATGGGGTAAAGTTAAGTTTTTGCTGTATTTGGCTGAATCATTCCATTGGGTATGCAACTATTACATGTTGCCATGCATATATTTCTTTTCGGTTGTTTCTTATTTCACAATTGATGAGCAATGAAATTGTGTTCTGTGAATCTTCCAGATGGACTCCCGATGTACCAACCCAATCATAACAACCCAGTATCGATGACACAAGCCAACCAAATGTCGATTTTTATGAACTCAGCCCATACACCGCCTGTCTCATCGCATCTGGAAAATTTTGCATATGATCACATCGCTACATCATCTTTTTTAGCAAGAGATGAAAGTTCAAGTTTCAGGAAAGATGGCGAGGACGACTTCATCAGAATGTTTCAAGCTGAAGCACCTCGTCAACCCTGTGACGAACTTCTACAAAGCATTGTGGAATCATCGTGTGTTGGCATTTCTACTCCATTCAAGGGAACGAAAGACTTTGGGAAGCAAAGAGATCTAGAAATTGATCTCAACAAGACACCAGAGCAGAGACCCCCCAAAAGAAGACAGCATACGCCCATGGTATTCTCTGGAGAAAGCTTTACTGATTTACTTAATCTTCCATTAGATGAAAATTTAAGCCTTTACGAGGAAACACAGGAGAATTTTGTCACAGTTCCACTAGATGAAGCAACTCAGAAACGACATGATGAACTCTTGAAAGATCTCACGGATACATTATCTGCGGGCATTTCTGAACCAACGAATGAAGCGGAGAAGGGCAGCGATCAAGTAATTGATCACAAGACAACAGAGCAGAAGACACCAAAGCGAAGAAAACATAGGCCCAAGGTTATAAAGGAAGGAAAACCCAAAAAGTCTCCTAAGCCTGTTACACCAAAGATTTCCAAGGAAACCCCGTCAGGAAAGAGAAAGTATGTAAGGAGGAAGAACATCAAAGAAGCTGTTACTCCACCTGAGAATATTATGGAGATTAAAGATTCGAACCCTGCAGCTAAAACAAAATCCTGCCGGAGAGTAATAAATTTTGAGATGGAAAAAACTGGAGATGAGGAGCGGGAAAAGGAACGAAATGAGAAGGATATGCAAGAGAACATGGGGAACTCTTGCTTCATTACGAGATCAAACGTTCCAGGCTTCAGCACTCAAAGTAATGGTATCTGTGGAACAAGTCCAGATGTTCAAGACAATCATCGGCTGGGAACACTGGTGGCTGAAAGTGTGCAACCTTCAATACAGAGTTACATTGCTCGTATGAATCACATGATGACCTCTCACATATCACAATCCGAAAGGGAGGCAGCTGAGAGCCCATTAAACAGTTCAGGATACAACAAAGCAGAAAGTTTGTTCAATGTTCTAAGAATTTTAGATCAGGGAAAAGGATATCAATATCAAACCGGATTCAGCAATGGATACACACCTGTCGAGCAAAACATCCGTGCAGAAGAAATGGAGAAATTTTCAAGTACAGCTAAAAGAAATACTTATTATAAGGAGATGATGGGGATCAACTCAGCATATTCTCAAACAGTTCCAAATCATCAGTCTAATATTAATGAAGCGAGGGGATCAAAGAGAGGCTGCCCGCTTACGGCTCAGCCCACACAGTTGTGCTCGATTACTACACTGGACTCTTCAGTGTTGTGTCAAGAGGCGCTTCAAACGGGTGAGTTCCACAGACTAGGCAGCAGTACAAACGTAGGTTCCTTAGAAATTCCTGGGAAGAAATTTGAGTCTGGACTCTATTCAACCCTCCATAAAAGATACTCTACTATCCAACCAAATGAGGATTGCTCAAGGCACCTCAATACAACAGGTTGCAGTCCTACCATTTCAGTTGGTTTTACTGCAGAAATGAAGCAGGCCATGCTAAATGGTTATCATATTAGAAGTAACCAAATCACAGACAGACAAAGTAGTTGGACTAAAGAAATTATTGGTGACGGGCATATTCACTCAGTCGTCCATGGAAACAATTTTCAAAGGCGACAAGTCTCTCACAATCTGCACCCAGAAATAAATAGGATGTGTGAGACCTCTGGGTTGAATACGGTTAACAGCCATCACTCTTTGATTATTCGTGACAAATGTAACATGCTCCAACCATTTCCTCATCCGAAAGCCTCAGAACAATGGTATGCATGCAGACAACCTAATAATAGTATACTGACAGTAAGGCAAGCCTGCCAACCCATGATATCAAGTTCGCTAGCAACAAATGTACAGAAACAAGGCTATTCGTTTGGCATGCAGCAATTCTCCCCTAAAACAACAAGTAAGTACATTTAACTCTTCAGATGAGGAATTCGATCTTGCCGTGAAGTACTAATTATAGCCTCTTGACATTGGTGTAGGTCTACTAGAATGTGAGATCACACGCAAATTGAAGAGTCTCAGTCTTAAAGACGATGAAGGAGCCACCAGGACGGAGCAAAATGCTATTGTTCCATATAATGGAAATGGTGCAGTAGTTCCATATGTGGAGCCTGAATATTTAAGGAAACGTAAGGCACGACCTAGAGTTGACCTTGATCCAGAGACGGAGAGAATATGGAATTTATTAATGGGCAAGGAAGGAATCGAGGGCATTGAAAACCATGAGAAAGACAAGGAGAAATGGTGGGAAGAAGAACGGAAAGTTTTCCGTGGTCGAGCTGATTCATTCATTGCAAGGATGCATCTTGTGCAAGGTTCATTTCTTAATCCTCCTATCAAATTCCTTGAATCCCGGATAGAACACTGGTTCCTTTACTTGAAAATTTCTATTGATTAAAATGTCAGATAAAGAAAACCAAAACGAAAACTACAAAAGACTGGTTAACAAATCTCAAATCGTTCCTTGTTTTTCTTTAAACATTATCTGCTGTTCAAATTAAAAAGGCCAAAACCAAAATGGTTTTACCAAGTCTTTTCTTAATTTTTCTTTTTGGGATAAATTAGAATGTCTTTAAAATTTTCAGAATATCTCAAAACTTTCACTTTTGTATAAATAAGTTTTTGAACTTCAAATTTTTGTGTCTAAACAAATCTTTAAATTTTGAATGTTAGTGTCGATCAATTTTGTTCAAATTTTCTATAAATTTAAATATTTCATCATTTGCATGTTTTACTTCCAAAAGTTCACATGAATTACAATTAAAATTTTGTTTACTCAATTAATGAACAGGAATTATAATTCAATAAAAAAAGATTAATTTATTTCTATATGTAGTTTGATAAAAGATTTAATTCTCTTGTACAAAAAATAAAATGGAAAATGAGCATTTTGAAATGATTGGAAGATGTGTAATAAATATGCAAAATAATACTGATAAAAAATATATGGGAAGGAACTTGAAACCTCTAACCTCTAACTTTTAGTTAAATGTATTTGTCTAAACTAGATGAGATACATATTCTAGTTTTATTTTATTTTTTAATAAAAGAAGTAGAGGTATAGAGATTTATGACTTCAAAGGAAAAAATATATATCGATTATCACTTAGCTATGGTTACTTAGAGAGAATCAATTTCATTGTATCTTAAGCAGCCAAAAGTTTTGCAGTTCCAAGTTAACACGTTTTGCAGGAGATAAATAAAACTGCCTTGTATATTTGTGGTATATATATCGAAATTCTCTTGGGCTCTTTGCAGGAGATAGAAGATTCTCACGATGGAAAGGATCAGTTGTTGATTCAGTTATAGGAGTTTTCCTAACCCAGAATGTTTCAGATCATCTTTCAAGGTAAAGGCTTATCATTTCGGTTAGAACTCTAGATCAAGATTATCTTTGAAGCAAAATTATAAACAAGTGGATCACATTTTTCATCTTTCTTTACAGCTCTGCTTTCATGTCGCTAGCGGCACGATTCCCTGTAAAATCTACCAGCAACTTTAGAACTCCGGATGAAGTTGAAACGAGCATAGTGGCCAACGAGTTAGCAGCTTGTCTACAGTATCCGGCAGATTCTATAAGATGGGAGGGTCAGGAACTATCCGTGCCAAGCTTTGAGATGCCCCAGACTTCAATTATCCATCAAAATCACAGAGTAAATTCGGGGACTGAAAATTTTTTCACAGAGCGGGGAGGTCAAATTGTGGAGGAAGAAGTCATATCCTCACAAGGTTCCTTCGACTCCACAATCACACAAGGTACTGCAGGGGCCAGATCATGCTCTGGATCCAACTCAGAGGCAGAAGAACCCATTGTAAGTAACAATTCTAGCAGCACCCCTTATTCAAATTTCACAGATATCAAACAAATGGAAACGACCACCGTGATTGAAAAATCCTTCAGTGACAAGAATAGAACTTCAGTTTTTGATGAAGTCTCAGAACATAAACACTGGCAATTACCAGATGGAAAACAGGATTCACTAACATCAGAATGGAATGAGATTGACAATCTCAGCGGCCATTCCTTGTTTAATTTCCTTGTAAATATTGAAAACCAACAAAAACAACTGCCAGATGCTCCTTCAAACAATCAGTTGCGCATGACCCCCGACTGCGGGGTATTGGAGGTAGAAGGCCGTGAAGCATTCAGTGAAGAGAGCATATCTTCAGGACCATCGATAATATCTGGATGCTCTACAGAAAAGAACACGACTTGCCATAGCTTAAACACCGAGGATCCTGACCGAAGTTCGGATAAAATCAGTGCTGAAGAGAATAGGCCAGCAAGAACACAAGAAACAACCAGGATGGAGCATAGCGAGTCTGTCAGTGAGCACTCAGTGCACCGGCAGGGTAATGGTACTCAATTGACATCTCGTTGCGAGTATAGTCTTCATGACAAATATAAACCACGTGAGAGGAACAACACTTCCCCATTAGAAAGTGCGTCAGTTAGCAATCCTCCCCCAGAATTAGATACACCAGCGAAGAAAAGTGCCCTCTCAAATGTCCTACATGTGCATGCTCACACAGAAAAGTTGCTACCCGGAAAGGGCAATTTGATAAACTTTTCAAATAACGAGGCCCATTCTCTATCTCAGGCAGATAATGAGGGAAACATTAGCCCTTCAAAAGCAAAAAGAAGAAAGGTCAATAGTGAGAAAAATAGTGCAATTGATTGGGATAGTTTGAGAAAGCAGGTGGAAGCCAATGGACAAATAAAAGAAAAGGGCAAGGATGCCATGGATTCAATAGACTATGAAGCAATCAGACTAGCCAACGTTCAAGAAATTTCTAGTGCTATCAAGGAACGAGGAATGAACAACATGCTAGCTGAACGAATTAAGGTACGTGCAACCAATTGAAGTCTTTAAAGGCCAACTTTTACTTAGACCAGCAATTATACCAAGCAGTAACGACTACTCTTTGCATCATAAAATAATGTTGCAGGAGTTTTTGAATCGTCTGGTAACAGATCATGGGAGCATTGATCTTGAATGGTTAAGAGATGTTCCCCCAGACCAAGCAAAGTACGATATTAAAATTTATCAATTCTAGCATCTTTAACTGATTTACTTATTTGATTTATAGTTATATAATATTAAAAAGATGTATACCTGCTGCAGGGATTATCTACTGAGTGTACGAGGATTGGGTTTGAAAAGTGTAGAGTGTGTTCGTCTATTAACACTTCATCATCTTGCTTTCCCTGTATGATTTCTCACAGACAACCAATCGTTTTTTCAAAAGCTTTATAGAGGGGCTTCTAATATCATCTTACATGGCTCTCTTACTAGGTTGACACAAATGTTGGAAGAATAGCTGTTCGACTTGGATGGGTTCCTCTTCAACCACTACCCGAGTCACTACAATTACACCTTCTAGAACTGTAAGTAACACTCGACTGATGAATGGTCAGTTTTCGGTAATCAGAAACTTGTAACCTCCATTCTGTTGTAGGTATCCAGTGCTGGAGACCATTCAAAAATATCTATGGCCAAGATTATGCAAACTTGATCAACGAACACTGTAACCTCTCAAAACATTCATTATTCATGTTTGATGACTAAGCAATAGATTGAACTCAAATTCTTTTGAATTCAATCAAAGCTATAACCTGACCAAATGTCTATTCCACAGGTATGAACTACACTACCAATTAATTACATTCGGAAAGGTGAGTCATAGTGCCCAATTTTTCACACCCTTCCATACATCATTGTCGTTATGTTTGTAGACTGACTTTAAATGCAATTTGTCATTCCTAATTGTGACATCAGGTGTTCTGCACAAAAAGCAAGCCAAATTGCAATGCATGTCCTATGAGAGGAGAGTGCAAACACTTCGCAAGTGCTTTTGCAAGGTTTGTCAATTTCTTTCGAATTGCATGTGTTGGCGATCTTGTCTATACTGACACCATCCAAAACTGGCTTTCCATATAATTTGGTATCGGGTCGAGTAATCAAATAGAACTACAGACTAATCTAGGTATATTGACATACTGATATCACATAATACCAAAGGGAACAGCAAAAGGGCAAGAGGAATTTCTTGTATAGCATGAAAGTCCAATGCAATAAATTTCGTTCATAAATATTGTCCACTCGTTTGTCTATTTACTTACCTTTTCAACTCTGAACTAAAACCCAAACTGTATTTAGTGCAGTGCCCGACTTGCTCTGCCAGCACCCGATGAAAAGGGCATAGTGGCTTCAACCAATCCCATCGCCACAGAGAAACAGCCACCTATAGTCACGAGTCATTTGCCAATTCTTCCTCCTGAAAGCACGTATACAGAAAATACCTTGGAAACCAGCAAGTGTGAGCCAATAGTTGAAGTACCAGCGACACCAGAACCCGAGCCCAATGAGATGACTGAAAGTGACATTGAAGATTTGTTCTACGAGGATCCTGATGAAATTCCTACCATCAAACTCAGCATGGAAGAGTTCAAAACAACTTTGCAGAACTACATCCCAGAGGGTGATATGTCTAGAGCTTTAGTTGCATTGAACCCAGAAGCTGCCTATATCCCAACGCCAAAATTGAAGAATGTGAGCAGGCTACGGACAGAGCATCAAGTGTAAGTTCTTTTTCTCGTTTTTCATTTTCTTAACATAAAGAAAGAAGACAACCAATTAAAACAATTAACGGCTCAATTATAGAAAATACCCTTAATCTTAATACTTTGTTTCAAAAATACTCCTTCATTTTCAGAAGTTTCATTGATGTCCGTAAACCTTCAGGAAAAAAAAAAAAAGAAAAAAAAACTCACCCGTACTGTTAGTGTCTGCTAAACAATACCCCTGTATTTTTTTGTAGTTACGAGTTAGAAAGATTCCTTTTGAATGGAGTCCCGTCTTGTAGTTGGACTGTTTTTTTTTTATGCACTTGTTAATTCTTTCATTTTTCTCAAAGAAACCTTAGATTCTCATAAAGAATAAATAAATAAAATAACCAAACTATTTAATGCACTCTATTAACTCACGTCTTTATCCAAATGCAGGTATGAACTTCCAGATTCACATCCTCTCTTGAGAGAGGTAAAATTTCCATTTTTGCTTGATACAAACAAACGTAACGTACTAACATTGAATATATAATAACAATTAGTTATTTAAACATACAGATGGATACACGCGAACCTGATGATCCAAGCCCATATCTTCTAGCAATATGGACTCCTGGTAAGCAGTAGTCAGTTCTATAAAGCAATGATTTTCTGTTCCTTTTATCTGTCTGTCCCTCCTTTCCCCTTTTCCATTTTGTTAACCTAGAGGGAGGGAGGGCAAATCATAAAAAAAATTCATGTTTCATGGAAAATAACTGTTTTAACCAGAAAGAGGAACTATTTTAATTTTTTCCTTAAATCTCCAGGTGAAACAGCAGACTCGATTCAACCACCAGAACAAAGTTGTGGATCTCAAGACCCAGACAGGCTCTGCGATGAGAAAACATGTTTCACATGCAATAGTAGAAGAGAAGCTAATTCTCAAACAGTTAGAGGAACGCTACTGGTAAAGTACAAGTAACATTACCTTGAATTCAATACGATGAAAGGCTTTTATTAGTCCCTTAAACTTTCTGCACCTCCCTATTGCAAAATTACAGGTGCCTTGCAGAACCGCAATGCGAGGGAGTTTTCCACTCAATGGAACATATTTTCAAGTAAACGAGGTAAGTCCTGTCTAACACCTATCATCATTGGCAGAGAAATAAATAGTCGTTAGAAAATCTATAACGTTATCGAGTTGGACAATTATGATTTAAATTTAATTAAATTTGATTTGAAATCCTTATGCTTTTAAAAAGTAATAGATGTAAGGATAACTGTTACTGAAATAAGAGAATAATAATCCAGAAATAAATAAATAATTTTTATAGAGAAAAAAGGTATTAGAGAGATGCTAGATAGAGGAATTGTGTGTAAAAAGGATAGAAAATTATATATATATATATGTTAGAGAGATAAGTTTGTGATAAATTGTAAAAAGAAGTTTGGAAAAATATTAAAATTTTTAGTGATATATATATATATATATATATTAGAATTGAAATAAAAGTAAGAAGGAAATAAAAATATTAGTGGGGGAAAAGGATAAACGTTTTGATAGAATTTTGGAAATTTTTTAGAGAGAAAAAATAGAAAAGTATTTATGAGAAACAGAAAAAAAAAAATGCATTATCAAACATATCCATTAAGAAAGAAAACATAAAAATAGCAACGAAACGCTAGTAAAATTTGTATGTTTCCTTTTGTTTCTAACTTATAGAAAACATGCCAACAAAATACTTCAATAACATGCCATTTCAAACTCGCAGATGTTCGCAGATCATGAATCCAGTATGAAACCAATTGATGTTCCAAGAACATGGCTATGGAACTTACCTAGACGAACCGTCTACTTCGGAACATCAGTATCATCAATATTCAAGGGTAAGCATGCGCACAATTCTAGATTATGCTTTAAACAAAGAAGATCATACTTAAAACCGCACTTCCAACCATGAAAAATTACTGATGTATCCATTTCATGGAACTAGGCCTTGTGACGGAGGAGATTCAGCAATGCTTTTGGAGAGGTACGTATTTTCTTCCTTTACAAATTTCTTGCATGATGGCCTACGTTTTATACCTAGTGAGATATTGAAATATAAAATTTACAACATAACGTGAAAATAGTTATTATATAATTATATTAAAAAGTTAGAAACTATAAGAGAAAATTATCCTACGAAATATAGAGGTTTCAGTTGGAATTGAATGATAAGGTCATTAGTTCCAAATTATGATTTTTTAAATAGTATTATTATTTATCGCGACTTCCTCACCCAAAAGCTAACACTAACTTTTTCTACTAAGCTCTAATCTCTTCTATTTCTTGTATTAACCGGTTGAAAAAAAAAATTGAAAAGAAAAAGTATTTACTGACTAAATTTTTTAAAAAATAAAAGGGTTATTATTTGACCATATAGCTTTCTTATAATATGAAGATCTTATCCATTTCTTATAATATATAGACCAACAATTCAACTTTAATATACGTTTTAAATATAACAATTATTCCGGTATATATTTTGGCTATTAGTAATTTGAAAGAAAAAATCTAACACTTTACCTATCCTTAGTTACATCGTCTATATTAACCTACATATACATTAAAATAATTTTATAGGTTTTAAAATTTATATGATAAACTTACTATTAAAAAATATCTATGAAAAATAAACTTTTTGTATCATAGATACTAATAGTTCTGCCAACTATTAGTCATACATGATCATTTCAAACATATTTGACATTAGCACGGAGAGCTCAACATAATTATGTTTTTTAAGTTCTTGAAATGTTAGGGTGACACGGTAGATTTGAATTAATATATTAAAAAAATAAACTGAAAAAATAATCCAACCATACTTCTTTAACACTAGGATATACATGTAAAACATAACCTTCTATAATTAACTAATTTGTTTATGAAAAGCTTGTCATTTCTTTCAAGATGACGTAATTAAGGTGAAATATACACATTAAATTTTAAATTTTATTTTTAAAATTCAAGAAAAAGGTTTTGCTGGTGTTTTATCATAAAACTTTTCTACTAGAGGTCCATTTAGCTTACAATATATATATATATATATATCTATTTTTCTACTTAACTGGAAACAAGTTCTAAAAAATTATGTATAATACTATATTATATATATACATATGTATAATGGGAAATAAATTTTAAAAATTAACCGTTGAAAACTAAATCCCTACAAAAAGTAAATGAATTCTTATGAATGAACAAAGATCGAAGGACGGAGAGGCAAAGGTTTCCCTCTTTCACCCTGTAGAAGACATCTAACAATTCAACTTATAAACCAGACAAGATACTACTTTGTTAAAATAAGGAGCTTTATTTTTTAATTAAAAAAAAAAAAAGCAAGAAATAAAGAAGGAAAATGCCATCTGCTTTGTTTTTTTTTAAAAGACCTGTCTTCTTTTTTTCTTTATTATTATTATTATTATTATTATTATTTTGGATGGACTGAAAACACAGCACTAAAAAATAGAGTTTAGCAAACTTTGATAGAAAACAAATAGAAATCATTACATATTATAACCTTACAATTATAGAGATATAGCGATGTATTCTCCTAAGTTAATATTTGATGATATGGATATTAATACGATAGTGGTAGCATACCGTTTGTGTCACAATAAACTTGCTAGTTCCTGTGAAGAGTGGAGGAATAAGGAAAAAAATTACCAATTCCTGTGAAGAGTGAAAATAGTTCTGGTAACTCTTCCTTTAAGCTGAGGTATAAGGAAAAAAAATTAGCCAAACTAAGGAGAATGATGTCATGAAGTGACAGTGTATGCTTAATTACGTGGAACAAATCCACGAATTGATGGGCTAGTCTCACCGGCAAATGTCAGGGTGAGGGTATGTTCCAACTACAATAGGAGAAAAGTTCGAGAGATAGAAACTCGAGCTAATCTGGTGTGTAATTCTCCAAGTTCGAATTAATGTTGGAAGGAAAACGGGGAAAAGATCCAAGAAGTTAGAATTAGAGCATATGGATTCAAAATAGGACATAAAAATGTTGCAAAGAGAACAAAAGATTGGGATTAAAAAATTGTACCAAAACTACCTTCGTTGTCTCGCAAGTCTAAGTTGGGATAAGATTTGGCTCTCTAATCTAAGGGATTTTTACCAAAGGAGAGTGTACTGGGAAAAAAAAAAATTAATGTTTTGATTGGTTGTCCAACTGCTATTTTAAGCCACCCTCAAAAGACGAGATGTATTTCAAAGGTACAGTAACTTCAGGTCTATAATTAGGAATATATCAGCAGCAATCAATGAGTTTGCCAGACTAAATGGCTATTGATAAAATGGAGATGGTTAGGATTTAGATTCAGTTTGGGTAGAGTTATAGAAAAGAACTAAGGCTCGCCTGACCACAGCTCATCTCATAATAGTAATTTCCTCAGCCTGGTCCCCATTAAATTTACTTTCAATTTATCATCCTTATCATGATTCCAAAGAACTCTGAAATGTTTCTTTATCTGAGCTCTTTCACCATCTCATCAAGGATAATACCCCCAAGCTTATACAGCCAAATGTTGTATTTAAGAGTTTGAAACTTTACCTATTTAATATAGATTTTTGAAGGACTTCCGCAAACCAAACCAATCACTGAGTTTTTTTATATGCCTTCATAACATGGTCTCTCTACATGCTCATGAGGTGTATGTTAGTATTTAGAAGAAACATACAAAGGAATTCGTACCCAATGTGAGAAGATGATCACCTTGATAATTGGTATTCATTCCCTGATATATACCAAGCATCTGATCATCCGTAGCTGTGGGAGAAAAAATCCAAGTGATCAGAAAAACATGAGTGAACAAAATCTTCTAGCTTATGGGATTTAGTGTCCTATATAAACAACATACAGATATCCCAAGGAAAATATGGTATAATAGTAATAGACAGTAATCATTCACAGCGATGGCATAATAGTAATAGACAGTATGCAAGAACAATCAAAGATGATTATGACTAGATTAGGGTACATTAAATATCTAATTTTCCTAATTTGCATTTAAGTAGAATCTTATCTTAGTATGTTGTGGTTGTGTAACACTATCAAAGATGATTGAGCCTCAAATTATATTCCCATTTGTGTGTCTGTGCAAAAGCTAAATTTTGAGTAATGTTGCAGGCTTTGTTTGTGTCAGAGGATTTGATCAGAAAACCCGGGCACCACGACCTCTGATTGCTAGATTGCACTTTCCAGCAAGCAAGCTAGCCAAGGTGAAAAATGGACATACAGAATAGCGAACTTATATGCAGAAGGCAGAAGGTAAGAGCAAGAGCAACAGAAAGGATTACTGACTGCTAAAGAAGATTTTCGACTAACCTATTGTTCTAGATTTTTAATTATTCTTGGTCTAACGTGCAATGCAATCACTGCATGTTCGCCAAGCGGGAAAGGAAAAAGTTACCAAATTGAAATTTTAGAATCCATAAGTGAGATGTAGTCTCTGCCCTACTGATATTCTTATGATTATTCTCAATTCATGCTCGAAACAGAGCCGATTCTTCAAATGTTGCCTGCGTCTAATTTCTCTTTTAGTAAGTTCTAACTTTTTTGTGCTTAATGCTCGAAACAGAGCCGATTCTTCAAATGTTGCCTGCGTCTAATTTCTCTTTTAGTAAGTTCTAACTTTTTTGTGCTTACTCAGTATATGAATGGTGAAAAGTTGAAAATTGCATCTGTTACAGAGAAAAATGAATGCCAGATCAATATAAGTCAGTGAAAAAGGTACCCAGCATGATTTTGCATGAAAAGATTTTAGTGACGGCATGAATTCAGATATGATAAAAATGTAAACGCTAAAGCAATACAATGAAACAAACTTCCAAGTCATTTGTGTGTACCTCACAAATGGATCAAGTGTGCCCTGCCGAAAGCTGCAAGCCTGCAAGTAAGAGAAAAGGTCAACTATGGAACAGGGATAATCAGAAAACTTCCAAAATTTGAAATTGAAAATAAAATGGGAAGCTACAAATAATGCAGACACACTCTTGACATTCAAACCAGTACGCACTTGACAAACCAATGCAAGACACACACTTGGAGATTCAAACCAGTAGGCACTTGACAAACCTAAGCACTTGACATTCAAACCAGGAAGCTAACCAGTACGCACTTGACAAAAACCAATGCAGACACACACTTGACATTCAAACCAGTACGCACCTGACAAACCTAGGCACTTGACATTCAAACCAGGAAGCTAACAAGTACGCACTTGACAAACCAATGCAGACACACACTTGACATTCAAACCAGTACGCACTTGACATTCAAACCAGGAAGCTAACAAGTACGCACTTGACAAACCAATGCAGACACACACTTGACATTCAAACCAGTACGCATTTGACATTCAAACCAGGAAGCTATTTGCACAGACAGCTACTGAGCAAAGCAATAATGCAGACACACATTTGACATGACATTCAAACTAGGAAACCAGGAAGCTATTTGCATAGACAGCTACTTCGTTAAAAAATATGAAACCTCAAATCGTTGAGAAAGATTCAAAATGTAGAAAGATATGCCAAAGTAAGAACAAGCTATTTTACCGGATATGAAACCTCAAATAGTTGAGAATCACATCTCTAATCAAAGATTCAAAAGGTGGAAAGGTATGCCAATGTGGAAAGATTTGCTTATGCAAATAAAATCTCAAATAAAATCTCACCTAAAACATTTAAGCACAACGAGTTGAGAAACTATAACATAAAAATCATGATCAGAAGACATTCAAACCAGGCTATTTGCATAAACAGCTATTTTACCGTATATGAAACCTCAAATAGTTGATAATCACAAATCTATGATCAAAGATTCAAAATGTGGAAAGATATGACGAGGTGAGTATGCAAATAAAATCTCATCTAAAACATTTTAAGCACAAGAGTTGAGAAAGTATAACATAAAAATACATGATATGAAAAGATAATGCAGAGTGAGGAGGCAAACAAAGTCCCATCTAAAAACATCTCGGCACAATCAGAGGAGTTGAAAAGATAATGCAGAGTGAAGAGGCAAATAAAGTCCCATCTAACAACATCTAGGCATCAGAGCATCTTAAAAACATCTAGGCATGAGAGAAGTTGAAGTTGAGTAACTCTTTCAACTGTCCCAGGCATCAGAACATCTTAAAAACATCTAGGCATGAGAGAAGTTGAAGTTGAGTAACTCTTTCAACTGTCCCAGGCATCGGAACATCTTAAAAACATCTAGGCATCAGAGCATCTTAAAAACATCTAGACATGAGAGAAGTTGAAGTTGAGTAACTCTTTCAACTGTCCCATCTAAAAACATCTAGGCATCAGAGAAGTTGAAGTTGAGTAACTCTAACATAAATTGAAAGAGGTGAAAAGGCAATCCAAATGTATGCTGGTCAATAATAAATGAGAATATAAACCGCTGAATATGCTTCGTTCTCTGTTTCTCATAAAAAACCAAAAAGAAAAAGAGAAAATTGAAAAAGAAAGAGAGAAAAAATCAATAATGATTCTCAAAACTACATATTACTGTATGCATGTCATTGTCAAAAATACAATAATATAATATACAGCACAACCACACATATAATATCATAATACGAACAAAAAATAATTCATAGATTCACTCCAGACAAGATATTCTATAGCTCTTCAACCTATGTCTGCTAGTTGCTAGTGTAACATACCTCCCACAACATAGCTTGCTTACGTCAATTTCTTTGCTAGCCTTCATAGTCTGAATAACAATATTTCAGTCCTCCTACTCCCATAACATAACTTGCTTACATCAATTTCTTTGCTAGCATTCATAGTTTGAATAACAATATTTCAGTCCTCCTATTTCAAAAGTTATCTTGGCAAATCAAGTATTGTATAAGAGGCAACTATTTATTTAAAGATTATTGAGTTAATAGAGAATTTTGAAAGTCAGAATTAGATCTTTTTCAGGCCCCGCCGGATAAGATAGTATTTGAGAGAAAAAAAAAAGTTATCTATTGTAAACATTATCCAAATGTACACTGGTTTCATGCAATCCAGACATCATCTACGGAAGCAAACATTATCAAGATATACAGACTCTGCTATCATGCAAGTCAGAGATCATCTACGAAAACAAATTCCAAGCTAGTTTATCATAAATCTCACCCGCCAAAACCATATCCAATTAAATAAGCTAGCGTACTCATCAACAAAATGAGGAAGTATCTCAATCCACGTTATTTTAGATAGGTAAATGTAAAACAATAAATCTTTCATTACGATGACACAAAATAACTTCTAACGAACTCACGTATATATTCTTAATATTCTCCTATCCTAATACTTATTACTTCAGGTATATATTGTTGATGTTGTTTAATTATTTTATATAGATAAACGTAAAACAATAAATCTTTTATTACAAGTAGACATAAAATAACTCCTAACAAACTCATGTATATATTCTTAATATTCTCCTATCCCAATATTTATTACTCCATGTATATATTCTTGATGTTGTTTAATTATATGGTAGCTAAAAAAATCTATTGAAGTTAAATACACGGCACACGGCAATGTTAAGACAAGGCAGGTGCACACAGACTCTCAAGAGCCCAATCATAACAGAAAGCACATCATATCCATAAAAAAAATTCTAATAACACATTAACAAGCACATCATATACATAAAAAAAATTCTAATAAGACATCCATGAAAATAACTCATGTTCAATTAGTAAAAATGATAATAGCAACCATTCTGGATTACATTGATACAAGCTCTCAAGAGCCCAATCATAACAGAAAGCAATCATATACATCAAAAAAAATTCTAATAAGACATCCATAAAAATAACTGATGTTCAAAATGATAATAACAAGGATAAACATAAGAGAGGTAAAAGATAAATAACAAGCTCATAAATGTTGTTTTTGTACATGAATTGAGGGGAAATGTGTCAAAACATGTATGGATTTTACTAGATACATCTCAGGTGTGATTGTCGTTGTTGAGACAAGATGAAGATGTATGTGCATGCTCTACAATTAATTAACCAATCACATCTTTATAATCAAAATTATTCAATGAATTAATCTGACAAAAAAAGTCAATTATGATTCTGATTTCAAAGTCGGTAAAATTTTAAGATTTAATTAGATGACAGTGTTGTAAAAATTCTCCAAAAACATTTTAAATTTACAAAAGATTATCACGTTCTCCAAATTCAGACGATTAAAACCACGATCAAATACTAAAATCAGCCAGATCTTCCGTATATCAGTATATCTCTATTTAAGTTAAAATCTCAAGTTAATAGAGGTATACAAATTAAACAAGTTTTAATCGACAACAAACACAGGTAACAGACAAAAAAACAATGAACCTTTGCTTAATCTCGATTACTTTTGTACTCAAAACATTAAACAATAATTTTACATCAAAATTATTCAATCCTCTCTGTCGATGATATCCTCTCAACAAGATTCAGAAATTCTAACCTTCTTCAATTGACAATTAACAGCATTTGTCAAATTTTTCGCACACAACATCAACATCCGTAGCCATATAGCAAACAGTACACTCACAAAACACTTTCTACATCTACAGCAAGAAGTAAATTCACGCCTTGTCTCGATCGTCCATAACAACCAGATTAACTAAAACACGCCTCCAGAAGAGATTAAAACTAAATAATCCAATAACACCTTCAAGAAAACGAAGAAAAACTACGCCAGAAAGAAAAACAGAACAAAACGTTTCTCCCTCTCTCTCTCTTATCTTTCATCATCTTATGGCAGATCGTACGGACACTAACATACAGCTTCTACAACCAAGAAATCTCCGGATACAAGTGAGAAGATTCCGGAAAACCAAAGGAACAAAGATAAGCATGACAAACAGAGTAGAATAAATCACGAAAACCTAGGGTTTTTCAATCTCATCACAAGTTCCGATTGAATAGAAAGAAATCAAAACAGTTAAAGCGCACCTGTGAATGATCCGGCTTGAATCATAAGAATCCAAAAGCAACATCGACGAAGCTCCAAGAGTCTGGCGATGAAGAATCCAGAGAGACGGAGACAGGTGATGAATGAATGAAGGAAGGAAAGAAGAAACAGGTATGGCGAGAACCGATAAGTTTCTAAATATGGAGAGCTGTTTTCGAGGGACGAGTCTCGCGCCTCTTTGTCTTTACGAGTTCCCTCCGAACTATATTTAAGCGCGCGGGGTGCATGCCTTTTCGGTGAAACGTGGGGAAAACAAAATCCCAGGACAAAATCGCTTTTCTTGCTTGAAATCCGGGATGTGAGACACACCAATTTTTTAAAAAATAAAAAGTAGAATAATATATATTAATATATGAAACTAAACTAACGCCATACTTAATCATCCAAAATAATTTGTGCTTAATCATCTTTTTTCGTGACTGTTAAGACAACTCTATTTTAAAATATATTTTTTTTTTCATCATTAAATATTTTAAGTTACGAACTTAATTATTTGATTTAAAGTAGAACCAACGAACTCAAATAATAAGTCGTAT